CAAAGGAAAACAATCCTTTTAGTGAAGTGCTCTTGTCCTGTTCCGCGAAAGCCGCGGCGGCGCGTCCGAATTGCCGAGCCACGTCCTGCCGCGCCCCGCGGGGGCCGGGGGCGACGCGCTGGACCGTGCCCCACGACGGCCACCGCGCAGGGAGCCGCGGCGCCGTACAGCGCGACTCTCCTGGCGGCGGAGGGTGCGCGCCAGCTCTCGGCGGGCGCGCTCACAGCCCCCTCGGGGCGGGCGGGCCGCCCTCGTGCGCGCTGGCTGGGTGGAAGACTGCGCGGCGGAGCACGCGTGCGGCGCAGCCCTCGCGCCGCCGCGCCCCGCTCTGCCTGTGGCGAGCGCCTCTCTCGGCGTGCAGCGGGGGGGGGGGGGGCCCGGGAGCTGGCCAGCACGGGCGCGCGAGGGGCGGCGGGCCCGCCCCGCGAGGAAGTTGCGGGGCCCGGGATCTCGTGGTGCAGGCTGCGGGCGGGGGGGGCGGTCCATGTCTGCGGCCCTCTTCCTTCCAGGTGGACCGCAGCTCCAGGCATGCTTCCAAGAGACTGCGCGACACCTCGTGTGACAGGTCCACGTGTTCGCATTGGGCAGGGAGAGCAACAGAACAAACATTATGCAGACGCTTGTTCGTCGATGGGCGTATCTGGGAGGACGGGCAGCCAGTGCGGCCCCGCTGCCTGTGCCAGTACCTGTGTTAATTTGAATCCGTGATTGTATCTGGCAGGCATGAGCTGGATCAAATCGAGAGATCGAATCGGATCGGAAACGGGCCGGATCGCTAGCGAATCGTCCCGAATCGGATCGATATCGGATCGCCGCGCCAGGTTCCTGCTGGCACCGTCCAATGCTGGTGAAACGGACCACATCGAATCGAATCGGAATCGCGGTCCCAGCTGGCGAATCGAATCGCATCGAATCGCAGGCGGCCCTGTCTGGCGGCGCTCTCAAATGACCCGCGCGGGCGGCTTGGCGACGGTACACCAGGCGCGTGGTCAAGCGTGTCAGGCCAAGCTGGGCAACGTTGCCAAATCTCCTGCGGGGTTACCTCCGCCGAAGAGAGAGAGAGAGAGAGAGAGAGAGAGAGAGAGAGAACGCCGAATTCTCCCAACCGCCTGGAAGGACGGCTGTGTTCATGCGGAGCTACCTCCGCCGTATCATGGGTGGATGGGGCCCTCCCAGTGCAGGCAGAGGCAAGCGACGCTGGTGCGGACAGACACACGCCCGCCGAAGCAGGAGGGCCGAGTGCACTGAGCACGTGACAGAAAAATGCTCCAGGGGTGTGTGGTGGAGGGACCTAGGTTGTCGCATGCGCTGAACCAGCTCATCATAGCCATCCTCTGAGCCCGAGCTGGCGAGAGCCCCTGCGCGCTCTGCTTGGGCGTCCAAGTGCGAGAAACTCACTGCGGCAAGGGACCCAATGTCCATGCAGAAGTACATATGCCGCAATGCTAGGTAGGACCTTCTCTCAGAACGCGGCAAAGTTGATCCAACACGTGCGGGGTGATCTCCCGCAGGACGGGTGACACCGAGTGCTCCCAGTGCTGCAGTGCCAACTTCAGCTGCGGCACGGTCACGTGACAATCGGCCCCGCACGGTGGTCACGTGCAGGTCTGAAGGGGCAAAGGATGCCCGCTCTGCTACCACTGCAATGGCTTCATCAGGAACGAGGCGCTCGGCTGTGCGGGGATCGCCACTGCCCCATCTTTTTTTATTTGTGGTGTTTTTTGTTTGTTTGTTTGTGTGTTGTGTGTGTGTGTGTGTGTGTCTGTGTGTGTGTGTGTGCGGGGCACAATTGTGGTTAGCATATGCGGTGAGCCCGTCACCAGCACTTCGCGCAAGAAGAGGATGCAAGCCATTAGCACTGATGAGCGCGCATTCAGACTTTCGAGGGACGTACATCAATGTCAAAGACAGCGAGTTCACTACCAGTAGTGGGCGAATAGCCAATAGGCGAAACATTGTACCCATCAGCCTAGCTGAATGCAAACTCAGAGAGTACGACGTCACTGTCGCTCCTTTCCTTTCGCACTCCTCCTTGGCGGTACGTCCAGGTGTGAAGCAACGCTCAGACGGAGCTGTGCGATGTCGGCCACCACGGCAGACCTGACCATATCGCACATCTCATCGCACAGGACTTGCCCTCTGTTCAAAAGCCTGTTGACCAGGACAGCTCCAAACGCCAACGCTGGCAACACTGAATGATGCAACGACGCTGGCGAGCCCATCACCGGCAATTCATGAACGTCCGCGGCTTCATTAGCGGTCATTCGTGCTTATTAGCTGGTGGTTTCAATGGCGAGACCAACGCCAAGAAACAATGAAACAAATTTTGGGGTGAGTGGAGCGCCATCGCCCAGATGCCCGTCCGTCGCATCACATGCTCCTACCAGTTGCCAGAAGAACGCGAGCAGCCTGGTCCCAGGCGCAGGACCCATCGGCGAAAACACGCCAACGAACCACTGGTGGCAAGGAGGTCGTACGTAGATGCGGAAACTCACCACGTGCAAGTCCAAGTGGAAGAGCTCCAAACATTCGTGCTCATGCAACTTTGTCTTGGTCGACCCAGCGCCCCCTTTTCCTCGCGCTGCCGCGCCTTCCCGCCCTCGGAGCCCACGCGACATCTGCGAGGGAGGAGCAGGAATGCGGCCGCGCACGCCCCCCCCCCCAGCAGCTCGGCAGCCTGGCCCACCGCATCTGCTGTGTGAGGTCTGGCCGCGAGGCGTTAGGTACGAAGGGCGCGACCACGCGGGTGAACTTGAGCTGAGGCGCCGCGGCATGGCTTTGGTCTACGTGGGGGGCGAACTCCATCTTGAGGAGGTGAAGGACGAATAAGAAGTGAAAAAGACGAGGAGCAGGAAGCGAGGAGCAGGAGGAAGGAGAAGCAGGAGGGCGAGGAGGAGGGAAAGAAGGGAGGATGGAGGGATGATCATAATGATGGAACAGCTTACATACGCGCTCGACTTGTTCATGGGGGCTTCGAGAGTTGTATAGGAACTGAGGGACATTCAGGGGAGGAAGAGGAGGACGGGGATGAGGATGATGATGATAATGATGATGATGAGAAGTAGGAGGAGGAGAAGGAGGAGGAGGAGGAGGAGGGAGGAGGAGGAGGAGGGAGGAGGAGGAGGAGGGCGGATGCAGGAGGCAGACTGAGTTAGGTGGAGGGGGCGAAGATGACCCTCCCATCTGGGCATTCTGACAATCGCGACTGGTATATCCAGAGCATCTAGAAACGGCATACATATAACTTTTGGAGCTTCTCTCTGATTTCTTGGATCGGCGCTGTCCCCTGGCGGCGCCTCTGGCGCCGCCCTTGTCGCGTTCCGCGCGCCAGAGAAGGGGGTCCAACGCCGATTGAAGAAATCCGCGCAGAGCTCCGAACATTCATGTTTATTCCCCAATCAGTGCTTGCACTGAAGGGGTCCTAGCGGATATTCCTCAATCAGTGCTTGCACTGAAGGGGTCCTAGCGGATATTGGAAGATTTGGCGAAAATTCCAAGCGGATTTCGGTAGGTGGCCGGGTTCCCGGGTTCCCACTTCTCTATCGATCTCACTATGGATCTTACAATCGATATCACTATCGATCTCGAAGTCGATCTCACTATCGATCTCACGAGCGATCTTACGATAGATAACACTATCGATCTCCTGTGATCGACTTCACTATCAATCTCTCGATCGACCTTACAATCGTCCTCATTATCGATTCCACTATCGATCTCAAAAACGATCTCAATATCCATAGTACTAATTTGCAATCCTTCCACTGAATGGGGTTTATCTCCCGTGAAATTGAAAGATTTGGCGAAAATTCTGGGCCGATTTCGGTAGGCGGCCGGATTTCCGGTTCTGGGTTCCCAGGTGCCCGGTTTCGGGTCCCGGGCCGATTTCGGTGGGCCGCGGGGTTTCCAGGTTCCTGGGTTCCTGGTCGATCTTCTTATCGATCGGTCTCACCATCGATCTCATTACCCACTTCTCTATCGATCTCACTATGGATCTCACAATCGATCTCATCATCGATCTCACAATCGATCTCACAAGCGATCTCACGATCGATATCACTATCGATCCCATTGAACCGACTTCACTATCGGTCTCACGATCGACCTTACAATCGTCCTCATTTTCGATTCCACTATCGATCTCACAATCGATCTCAATTTCCATATCACTAATGTTCAAGCCATCCACTGATTGGGATTTTCTTCTTCGAATATGATTGCCTCGGTGCACCCCCCCCAGACCCTCGCGCATTCAATCTGGCTTTGAAACATCCCCTGTAAATTCAGGGTCAAGAACTCTGGCCATGATTATTACCTGGCGTCATTGATTTTTTACGGTGCCGGATGTCGGGGGACGAGAAATTATGCAAACATTGTAAGCGTTTGCGCCGCAACCCCCCTGAACCTCCGCCTCGGTCATCTGAATGATGCGGGACACGAAGAACGCCTGCTCCTCTGCGGGGTAGCATTGCTTCGGCAGCGGGTGAAGCCCCACGACGCTCGTGCAATCCCCGATCGCGAACAAGCGCGACCGGCCCTCATCGTCCACGCACCACGGCTTCAAGTCGCCATCCTCTGTCCGGGTAACAACCTGTAATTTTTTGTTCACTCGCACCCACCCTCTGCTTTGACGGGATCGGTTAGGCATTTCCCCGCCCGCGCCCAACAACCCAACTTCTCGTTCGTCCTCGCCGAGCTCGCGGGACTCCGTAAGGCACTCCGGAGGAATGAACTTCACAGAGGCCTGCACGCCAGTGCACGCATACACGGCGCTCGGTGCTGAGTCGAGGCCAAGTTTGTCGTAAATTTGGAGGTCGTTGGGGTCGTACAACGTCCCGAAGATGCATCTGATGCCCTCGTAGAAAATCAAATAACTGCACACTCAACTACTCCGACGGAAAGACCCCACATGATAATCTGTTTAACTTGCCCTTACCCTTTTCTTCCTCGCCCTGACGGATACTCTACTCTCGCCCGCCGTTCTGCCCTCACCTACTCCGGAAAAGTTACAGGTTGCCGATGACCCGCTCGGATTACCAACATTAAATGCGGGACCCATAGGGAGGGGGCTCCCGCCTGAGACTTCCTTACAATTCACTCACAGACGAGGCTCCCGCTTGATACGTCCTCCAAATTCAAGCCTGGTGAGCCCAAAAGTGACGACGGTTACAAGTTGCCGATGACCCGCCTGGATTACCAACATGGAGTGCGGGACCCATAGGGAGGGGGCTCCCGCCTGAGACTTCCTCACAATTCACTCACAGACGAGGCTCCCGTTTGATACTTCCTCCAAATTCAAGCGTGAGGAGCCCAAAAGTGGCGACAGTTACAAGTTGCCGATGACCCGCTCGGTTTACCAACATGAAGTGCGGGACCCATAGGGGGGGGGCTCCCGCCTGAGACTTCCTCACAATTCACTCACAGACGAGGCTCCCGCGTGATACGTCCTCCAAATTCAAGCCTGGTGAGCCCAAAAATGACGACAGTTACAGGTTGCCGATGACCCGCTCGGATTACCAATATGAAGTGCGGGACTCATAGGGAGGGAGGGCTCCCGCCTGAGACTTCCTCACAATTAACTCACAGACGAGGCTCCCGCTTGATACTTCCTCCAAATTCAAGCCTGGTGAGCCCAAAAGTGACGACGGTTACAAGTTGCCGATGACCCGCTCGGATTACCAACACGGAGTGCGGGACCCATAGGGAGGGGGCTCCCGCCTGAGACTTCCTCACAATTCACTCACAGACGAGGCTCCCGCGTGATACTTCCTCCAAATTCAAGCCTGGTGAGCCCAAAAGTGACGACGGTTACAAGTTGCCGATGACCCGCTCGGATTACCAATATGAAATGCGGGACTCATAGGGAGGGAGGGCTCCCGCCTGAGACTTCCTCACAATTCACTCACAGACGAGGCTCCCGTTTGACACTTCCTCCAAATTCAAGCGTGAGGAGCCCAAAAGTGGCGACGGTTACAAGTTGCCGATGACCCGCCCGGATTACCAACATGGAGTGCGGGACCCATAGGGAGGGGGCTCCCGCCAGGGACTTCCTCACAATTCACTCACAGACGAGGCTCCCGCTTGATACTTCCTCCAAATTCAAGCCTGAGGAGCCCCAAAGTGATGACAGTTACAGGTTGCCGATGACCCGCTCGGTTTACCAACATGAAATGCGGGACCCATAGGGAGGGGACTCCCGCCTGAGACTTCCTCAGAATTCACTCACAGACGAGTGAGATGACGAAGCGATGAGTGAGTGATGATGATGAGTGAGTGAGTGATGATGATGGTGATGGTGATGGTGATGGTGATGGTGATGATGATGATGATGATGATGATGATGATGATGAGTGATGGTGATGGTGATGGTGATGATGATGATGATGATGATGAGTGATGGTGATGAGTGATCGTGCGATGCTGATGGTGACTGGTGGTGATGATGATGACGAAGTGATGAGTGAGCGTGTAATGATGATGCTGCCGCTGCTGATGATGATGATGATGGTGATCGTGCGATGCTGATGATGATGATGATGATGATGATGATGATGATGATGATGAGTGATCGTACGATGCTGATGGTGATGCTGATGGTGATGATGATGAGTGGAGAGTGATGAGTGGGGAGTGATGGTGATGGTGATGATGATGATGAGGAGGAGGAAGCAAGGAGGAGGAGGAGAGGAGAGGGAGGAGGAGGAGAGATCCTGCGCGGAGGGTGTGCAGAGAAAACAAGAGCCCCACTTAGGATGTGGGGAACAACTGTTTTGGAGATCCGCGCGGATCTCTTGGGCGACGCTGGGCCCCCGTCCGCTGGCACGCGGAGCGCGCCAGGGGCGGCGCTGGAGTCTTCGCCAGGGGCGTGGGGAAGGGGCCAGCGCCGACTTCAGAACTCTGTGCGGACCTGGTGCCTTTGAGATCGTCCAGGGGCTCTCCCTGGGCGCGCTCCGCATGTTAGGAGGGGAGAGTTCATGGCCGACCTAAGAATTCCAAACGGACCTCCGACACTTTTTGTTCATGATGCTTTTTGCTCCTCGACCTCGGTTCGGTCGAGGTGAGCCTGTGCGTACTCGACCGCACGCTTCGGCCACCGGGACAGAATCTGCTGCGGGCGGCTGACGATGACGACCTCGATGTCCTCGAACACCGCCTTCACCTCGCAGGCTCATTATGGCTGTACCATTTACTGTGTTCAAATAATTTCTGTAACTTCCCTTTGAACAGACATGACGGATCACCTCGCAAGCCCACTCAACGCCGATGAACCCCCCGCCGACCACCAGGGCTGTGCCCTTCTCCGAGTTCATCTTTTGCAGCTTCTCAAACTCCTTCTAAGCAACATCGGCATAAACAAACACTTTGAGAGATCTGCGCGGATCTTTCTCTGGGTCGGCGTTGGACCTCCCCTGGCGGCGCCTTAAGCGCCGCCCCTGGCGCCCTCCACGTGCCAGGGTCTGGGGACGGGGCGTCCATCGCCGACCCAAGAAACCCGCGCGGTGCTCTGCAGGCCTACGCACGGCGATTTTCCTCGAGCGGTGCAGGCGCCTGGGGCTTCTGCTTCGGCTGTCTATGGAATCGGACGGGTCCGCCGAAGCTTCGCCTGGTGCTCGGCTGGCGGCTGGTCGCGGGCGCCCGGTGGGCGCCCCGTGCGCTGGGTGGGTTCGCGGGGGTTGCGCCCGGGTGGCCGCCCGTGGCCCCCCCATGTGGTGGGCTCGTCTGTCGGGGTTTGGCCTCGTGCCCGCCCGGGGGTGTCGTTGGCCGCCCGTGGGCGCATCGTGGGCGCCCCGTTGGCGGCCGCACAGCTTGCACCGCACAATCTGCTCCGCGTAGCTTGCACCGTGGAACTTTTACCACACAGTGAAACCAATAGCCTCACACCAGACAGTTCCCGCTGCATACGTGGTCCTTTTCCCAAACAGTAAGCACCACCACCCTCCTCCCCTGGTTATCGGTGCTCTCTGGGATGATTCAATCACGCACGATTCTGTCCCAGCGCTGGTTCTTCCATCCAGAATCAAATTATCCCAGCCAAGCCAGTATCGACCCTCCCCATTCCTGTCGAATCATAAAGTGCGCGCGCAGTCGTTTATCTCAGGAAATCATGTCACAATAACCCATAGCCAAAACGTGCCACAAAGTCCGCGCGTGCGCGCACATGCCCCGACTATATCTTGCACATGGATGACGGCTTCAACATCGATAAAATCAGGGCACTTTCGGCATTCCATCGGTGATCTTGAAGATTGGTTGGCCCCGAGCACGTGCTGAAGTTATACGATAATGTTTGCCCGTGTGGGCTCCAAACCATGTGTTTCTAGCCATACATTGTGTGCACTCAATTTGGAGCAACCCATGTTGTAACATTTACGTGCTGCATTATCGGTTGTGCAATCCCTGCTGTGCACCCACTGTGGTGCAATCTAAGTGGTGCGCAACTTATGCTGTGGAGTCGACGTGGTGCAACTGAAGTGGTGCAGTCCATGTGGTGCTATCTGTGTTTTGCAATCTGTGCTGCAATCTATGTGGTGCAGGTACCCAGTGCTTACTCGTGAATTGTCAAGTCCATTGCCCGCGCAATGACCCCACCCACCCGCAACGTGGTTTGCAAAACTCATGAAGCGGTGATTTCGATGGCTGCTTGGCGCAGGCTGGCGCCTCGCTGCGGCCGCGTTGGCGCGCGCAGGCTCGCGCGTAGAGCGGCCACCCTACTCTGGCGCAGCGGACGAGGCCGCGGTGGCGCTGACCGCTGGAGGATTCCGAACGCGTCTTGCAGGCCGCACTAACGCGCGGGTACTTACATGCGAGTTGGTGACTCGGGCGGGCGCGGTATCATGGCGACGTCGACATCGGCATACATGATGATGATTGTAACGATGCTGGTGACGACGATAACGATGACGATGGCAAGGCCAATGACCGGGTCGATGCTGATCACGCTGGTAACGACGAGGGTGTCCGCGCGTCGGTGATGAAGGCCTCGGAAGGATTTCGACATGCGCGCGCGGCCGGCGGGCACGAATGTCGCCGATTTGTTGAAGGGACCGTACCACCCCCCCCGTACGCGCGCAAAGGCTTTCGAATGATTCCGACACGCGCGCGCGAGAGGCCCGTGTGGTTGAGTTTGATGAACATCTTCGACAACCTATGGTATTCGCAACAACGCGCGCAATTTTTTGTCATATCATGTTGCAAACCATGTTTTTGGTAACAATGTTTGCCCTACACTTGTCTTTGAATCCGTACGCAACTTTTTTCTGGATTTCGACATGCGCGCGCGACGACGCGCGCGTGTGCACGTTTTTTTTTGGGGTGGGGGGTGGGGTTGGGTTGGAGACTGCTGATATGTGATACACGAAAGAGCCCGCATATTGGCGGGCGGTGGGATACTGGCTGGGCTGGGATGGAATGATTTCGTATGGAACATGAGCGATGGGGCAAAATCGTACGTACTTTGCAATATCAAAATGCAAACGGATAATCCTGGAAGGGGGCTCGGATGGGGGTGGTGTATCCGGGATTTTTTATAAACAGAACCTAGGTGGTGCAAAGTATGTAATGCAATCTACGTTGTGCAACCTATGTGTTGCAATATATACTTTGCAATATATGTAGTGCAGCCCATGTGGTGCGCCATTCTTGGTGCAATTCGCCCTGCTGAGCTTGAGGATGTCAACTTGACTGCTCACGCATCTATCCAACCAACACAACCGCAACTTGGTTTGCGAATCCCATCGGGCGGTGATTTCGAAGACTGTTGGCGTTGGCTGACGCATCGCTGCGGCCGCGCCAGCGCGCAGGCTCGCGCGCAGAGCGGCCAACCAGTCTGGCGCGACCGACTGACGCGGCCGCGGTGGCGCTGACAGCTGAGGAATTCCCAGCGCGTCTCGCAGGCCGCGCTAACGCGCGGGTGCTTCACTGCGACTTGGTGACTCGGGCGGGCGCGGTATCACGGCGACGTCGGCAACGGCAGACACGATGATAATGGTAGCCGTGCTGGTGACGACGCTGATGGTGACGACGGCAAGGCCAATGGCGGCGCCGATGTTGATCACGCTGGTGACGATGATGGTGTCCACGTGTCGGTGGTGAAGGTTGTCGAAAGATTTCGACATGCGCATGCGGCCAGCGAGTGTGAGTGGCCATCATGATATTATTTGATTTAAATTGTGCGCCCCCCAGCACGCGCGCAAAGGCGTTCGAATGATGTCGGTATGCGCGCGTAAATATGCCGGCTGGACGAGTTTGATGTACATGTGAGAAAACTCATGGTCTCCCCAAGAATTGGCAACAGCGCGCGTGCAGACCTCTTTCTGAAAAACCATGTTGCGAAATCGTGTGTTTTTGATGCGATTTCGGGACGTTTGATTTTCACAACTTCGCGACTTTCAACATTTGAAATATTCTGGTATCGCGTGTGGGTTAGGTCTCAAGCTTGCAAGAAATTGTTGGGCAAACTGATTATTTTTGGTAAACGCGTGTGCGCGTATAGTAACTATGTAAAGAGGATGAGGAGGGAATCGGTACCGGCCTTGTTGACTTGATTCGAATTTATACGTAGAATGAACGATGAAGCGAAACTGCATGTAAACTGCACGTCCCCAAACGGGTGATAAAACCGGGGGTGGGGTTGGTAGATCATCATTCCTTTCTTGGGGAAGACAACTCATGCGGCCCCATTTACGTTGCGCTATTTAGGCGGCGACGGGGCGGCGACGGCGACAACATAGTCACCAAACCGACAAGCCGAGACGACGGGCGGCGACGAGGCGGCGACGGCGACAGCATAGCCGCTAGATTGACATTCAGGCCCAGACGATGGGCGGCCGCCAGGCGGTGACGGCAATGACATAACCGCCGGACCCACATTCAGGCCCAGTTCCTTAGAACGAAAGAAAGAGACCTTCAATGCAAACGCTGTTTGCGGAACCGGATGGTTTTAGCAATCTCGGCCAGCACCCGCATTCTCATCTCACCACTCGGCGCACGTGCGTTGATTTAGCATGCGCCCAGTGCCCGAATCTGTATCACACCGTACCATGCAAGGCGCACGCGCGGGCCGCCATGCGCGCGTCGACATCCGTCCAAATCCATGGCTTTCAACACATTTCAAGATATAGCCCTTCAGCCACACACGGAACCAACACATTTTTTCGTTATGACGAAGTCGCTTAGATCGACCTATTGAGTGTCTGCGCGCGCGTGCCGTTCCTTACTATCGCCCTCACTGGTGCCATCGCGTCACTGCCGTCATCATCATCGTCAACCGCCGCCATTGCCACTATCATCAGCCAAACACCTTCATCACAGATACATGGACATCATCATTATCATCGTCATCAGCAGCATCGGCGTCGTCATTGACTTCGCCGTTGCCATCGTCATCACCGCCACCACGACCGCTACTATCATCATCTTTGCCGCGGTTGCCGACGCCGTCATATCGCGCCCACCCGAAGCACCGACCCGCACTGAAGTGTCCGCGCGCTGGCGCGGCCTTTGAGATGCGCTGGGAACTCCGCAGCGGTCAGCACCGCGGCCGCACCAGTTGTGCCAAACCAGCTGGCCGCTGTGCGCGCGAGCTTGCGTGGTCGCAGAGATGCGCCAACCAGTCCTCTATCGCGGCCGCATGGATCTTGCAGAACAAGTTGCGGGTGGGAGGGTGGGAGGGTGGGATGATTGCGCGAACAATGGGGTCGACAACTCATTCGCGGCGTTTGTCAATTGCACCGCGTAACTTGCACCATCTAACTTACACCACACAGCCATCACCACATAGCGTACACTGCATAGCTTGCACCACGTAGCTTCCACGCTTACACCATAGCTTGCGCCGCATAGCTTACACCACATTTGTAGCACCACACAGCTTGGAGCACATACTGCACGACATAACTTATTTTACGAATCTGCAATGCACTCATTTACTGTTTGGGATCAGCGCTGGCAGACATGTTGTGTTGTTTTCTCTTGCATCCTCAGTGATGTGCATACGACGGCCCTCGATGGTCCGCTCGTCGTGGTGTCTCCAAGCGGAAGCCTCCATGTGGGCGCTCAGCACCGTGGGGAACCACAACGACGCGCCCCTGGTGAGCCGCATCTTATTGTACGAACACCCCGCGGCGATGATGCAGTAGTCGAACTCGACGACCGAAGGTGTAGGGCACTTCCTGGCCGGCCACGCAGTGACGTTGTCCACGCGCCAACGCCTCGCGTCGTCGCCGCAATACTCCTGGAGGCGGGTCACGTCGATGCACCGGGTTTCGCTGTGAATGCACAGCACCTCGCCCCACACGAACTTGCAGCTCATGTCGCCCTCCAAGATCGGCCTCAGCGGGAAACAAATATTGTCGAAATGCTCGGGCTGAACAAACGAGCGCAGGACGCCCGGCCCATATTGAAAATAGTTCTTGCAGTCGACGACCGTGACGCGGAAGCCATGCCTGAGCTCCCTGGCGGCCTTCATGCCCCCAAAGCCTGCGCCGATGATGACGACGCGCGGCCTGTCGTCCGCGGGGTCGAAGTCGAACTCGCACGGCACCGACCAGTCGTCTTCGTCCACCTCGCTGGCGCCGTCGTCGTCCCTCAACGAGCTTACTTTCCATGAAGACGCCGAGGTTGCAATTGTGAGGGAGGGGGTGACCTCTGGCATGGACGTCCCGCTGAGGTACTGGGAAGCCTCTCCGCCGAGGGCACACGTACACCACCACTGCATCCTCACCAGGACTCCAGGATGGCCCTGGCCGAGCGTGGTGGTGGTGCTGGTGTGCAGCAAATTCGTGTCTTGTCGACCCCAACGTTGGTTCCTGACACCGCGGGGATCGTTCAACCTTGAACGACTGGCTGTTTCCGGATCGTCAGATCGTTCAACGTCGACCGATTCTGGGTCGCCAGCGGCGTTCAACGTTGAACGCCAGCGGCGAGGTCGCCGCCGGTCGACACGACGCGAACCCTACCGTACACCACCACCGCAGCCTCAACAGCGTTCCAGGATGGCCCTACGGCCCCTGGTCAGGCGTGGTTGTGGTGGTGGTGTATGCGAAGGTGCCCTCCTGCGAAGCCTCCATGTGCACGCGCCGCAGCGGGAGGGTCAAGGTCGAGCGCCCCCTTGCCGTCGGGGACGGGGAGGCGTCGGACGGCAGTGCCGTCGGGGATCGGGAGGCGTCGGACGACACGTCCTCCGCTGCTGGCGTGGACTCCACATGGCCAGCGCAACATGTCCACGGCATCAAGGCCGTCGTCGACGGAGGGGAGGAGGAGGAGGAGGAGGAGGAGGAGGAGGAGGAGGAGGAGGAGGAGGAGGAGGAGGAGGAGGATGAAGAGTAGCAGGAGCAGGAGCAGCAGCAGGAAGAGGAGAGGAGGAGGAGGAGGAGGAGGAGGAGGAGGAGGAGAGGAGGAGGAGGAGGAGGAGGAGGAAGAGGAGTCCCAAAGCAGCCTCAAGACTGCCCAAGAGAGCCCCTTCCCTAGTCTTCCACCAGTGGTTTCCCCGACGGTTGGCGGAACATGCAGACCACCAGCGCGGCCGCGTGTTCGCATGGGATTTTACGACACAAGAATTTCCGGACGGCAGGGGGGAAGCGGCGGTGACTCGCCGTAATTAGGCACTTTCGACATCAGAAGTGGCGAGACCATTCGAAGAGAGAACACGTTTTTGACAACGGTCCGCTCACATTTCTGTACGTAGCTGCTTCAAACATCAAGGTCCTCAGATGTCAGGAAGTCTCTATCTACCCAGAGCCAGGCATTGCAATTCTCTTCCCTCCATCCGTGCAACCGTTGGGATGTTGGGGGCTCAAGATCTCACATTGCGAGGCCGTGTCAAGCTAAACGCCTAGGCCACCCTACCGACGTTTGACAGTACATGGGAGGGGACGGGGTGGAAGGAGGAGGCTGAGGAAGAGGAGGAAGGGGAGGAAGGTGAGGAAAAATCAGGGGTGGGGAAGAAGGGTGATTTTGAAGTCCCACCAGCCCTTTAGGGCGTGAGTGGTTTAGGGCGTTCCTTCCACCCCCCCTTATTACCCGTCGGGGAAGTGTGTACCCCTCCCCCTACCCCCTCCGCCTGGACCTGGACGAGGGGGGTCGCGACCAGATAGAGCGTCCAAGATGGCCTCGGCGAGAAGACCAACGTTATTGATTTTACTACGGTTTTGGCTACATGTTGGCCTCGTGTGAGGGGGGACCCGAATCAATTACGCCCCCCTTCTCTTATCGAACTCCTCCAAGATGGCCCCAATCTTGCCCCCAATGCTCCCAAGAGAGTCTCAAGAGGGCCCCAAGAGGCGCCCAGGAGGCTCCCGAAAGGTCCCCAACAGGCTCCCAAGAAATCACCAAGAGGCCCCAACCGGCCCCGCGAGGCACCCTAGATGCACCACGATGCCCCCGGGCCGCCAAGAGCCTTCCAAGATGCCCCAAAAGGACTTCAAGAAACTCCCGAGAGACATCCGAAGAGACTCCGAGAGGCATCCAAGACGTCTCTGGCCGTTCTGCTCACCCTCCTCCTCCTTCTCTTTCTGCTCCTTCTGCTCCTTCTGCTCCTTCTCCTCCTCTTGCTCATCCGCCTATTCCTCCTTCTTCCTTCTCCCTCCTCCACCTCCCCCTGTCCCTCCTCCTCCTCCTCCTCCTCCTCCTCCTGCATCATCCCCTTCTTGGGGTACGAAGTCTTACCCAGTCCACTATTCCACTACATGCTCCTCCACTTCCCTGGTCAGGGCAACTCGCCTGGGCATCGTTTCTGGATGGGCTTGCGAGTTTACGCGAAGCGCCTTGAATGGGGAGGCGTCAGAAGGGGACAGTCCACGTTGTTTTGATTTTGTTTTGTTTTTGGCGTTACCGAAGTCTGTGCAACTGTTGCAAGAGCTCAGGAAGGGGGGAAGAGAGAAAAGAGAGAAAGAGAGAGAGAGCGAGAGAAAGAGAGAGATACGTACCACTTCGGACGGGTTTCGCCCCAAACCCGAGACTGCAATCGCCCCGCAAACCTACTTCACAAACCGGGAGGTGCCGCTTACGAAACCGAGGTGGTGGAATGAGCCCCCCTGGCGCGGCCTAAAGGGAGCCCCAGCTGGAAAGCAATGTGGGTATGGCCGCTCAAGGGCCCGTCTGCGCACCCGTGGCAGTCTCGCCGCCTTTTACACGCGCGCTGGCATGCGCGATGCGGAGCGTGGGAAAATACACGGCACCGCCTTGGGGCATCCCCCGGCAGCGGCCCAGAGAGAACATGCGACGAAGCAGGTGCCAGTTGTTCGCGGAACCTTCTGATGAGGGGTGCTAACGCTGGTACCGCACGTGGAACGTCGACAACGGCTTGGAGGTTGCCGTGGACGGACGCCCCCAGGGCCACCTCGGGCCGAAAGGCCAGGTTGCAGGCCGCTCCAGGCCTCTTGCGCTCGCTGGGACCTGTCGAGCAGCGGGGCTGGCCGTTCCTGATATCTGGTAAAGTGGCGACGCCGGCTGGTTGGCTCCCTGACGGAGCTGACTGTTCGCCGCAGTGAGAGGATGCGTAAGGGCTTGCCTACGGTCCATACGTTGGGTTAGTAGCGCTGGCAGAGTGGCCGTCGTCCCTGGCCTCGCGCCCGCCCCCCCCCCGTCGGAAGCCTGGTGGGCCGAACGGGAAGGCAGGTTGAGGATGGGGTTCGGGCTGGCCTTGGGGCTCTGGCGCTCTAGGGCGGTCGTCGACTGATCGGGAGAGAGAGAGAGAGAGAGAGAAACACAAGAAAAGAGAGACAGGGAGAGAGGGCGAGAGGAGAGAGGGGGAGAGAGTATGGCTGCGCGCGTCGTGGTGGCCTCCCACTGTGTGGTCTCCGCCTAGAAAGTGACTCCGTGGAAGGAGCTCGCTGGCTCCGTCGTCGTTATCGAAGCCCCGAACACAAGAAGGTCGAGGTCGTCCCCATCGTAGTCGTCCGGTGGTGGCGACCAATGGTCGACGAGTTCGTCCGAAGTGGCGCGGGCAGGGTGGGCCGCCCAGCGGAGGTGGTCCTCCTTGAGCACTTGTGTCCTGCCCCCCCCCTGCCCAGTGGTGAGCGGGTTCGGCGTCGTGTTGAAGAGCTCGGACCTGGAGTGCTCGGCTCTCCTGTGGGGCAGCGGGGGCGTCCGATTTCGCCTTCCGTATACGCCGACGGCCCTGCTATGGACGACGGCGGCGCGTCGCCATTTGGCAGCATCGGTCTGGCTTTGCTGTACGCAGAGCCGTGCCTCCGCGGTGGCGAATTCGTCAGCGTGACGGTTAAAGGCTTCAGCAATCGGAGAGGTGCGGCCTTTGTTGATGCCTTGCTCCCCCAAGTGACTTTCCACCTTCTGGACTTTGAAAAAATCAGGTTGGGCCAGAAGCGCCCGGCTTTCTGCCGGCGGTCCGCTTGGGGCCCCTCGCGCTGCGGTGGTTTGCCTTTGAACATGCCATCAAATCCGTCAGCGAACGCCTCGTTGTCGACGAAGACATGTCCCAGTATTTCAGCCGTGGCGTCAAGGTCGAGCATGGCCAGGAGGGGGTTTGCTTGGTGGGAGCAGGCTCCGTCCTTAGCGGCAAAAGCCCATCGGCTCCCTGGTCGTTGGTGCAATCAAAATACGGGTTCCCTCCTGCGTCCTCTGGTGGTGGTCTCGAAATGCCCCGCGGGGGCTCATCTTCCGCCGAGGTCGAGAAGGCCGAGGTCTTCTTCCAGTACAGTCCATAAAGCCTGGTGTGTGGTGAGAGATCTTGCCATTGTTGCTCGGTGGTCATGGTTTGGAGGACGGTCCTTTCGGTCTCCTAGCAGGGGCGCGTCCACGAGGCATGCTCTTGAGTGTTCCTCGTCGTGGTCGGGCCATCTACGCGAGGGAGATGGTGGGCCGAAATGCCAGGTTTACCCTTCCGCTGCTGGGCGTGGTCGCCCCCGCGAAAGTAGTTCCAGTGGAGGCCAACTTGCCAGACGGTGCATTTGGCCTTCCCAGTGGTTCTGTTGAGCCACATGTTGGCAAACGAGCCAAGGCAAATCGTCGGCGGCGACGGGGCCGAGGTTGTGCCTGCCTCTTGGGATGCGGCGGAGAAGCTGGAGAAGCTCTCCATTGTGCCACCCGAAGCATGTGGGTGAAAAGCCCGGCTGGCAGCTGTATCCATGCAATGCGTTTGCGCCGGTCGTCGCGCATGGTGGCGAACTCGGGCCATGCGCGCTCGAGCATGACAATGGATTGCCAAGCTCTGCCGACGGCCCCCCCCCCAAGAAAGTGCGTGCGTGGCCGTGTGCCTCCTTTGCCAGTGAGACTGGTGTCTCGCCGCGCTTTGCCTCCATGGCCCCGCGCGTGCTCCTCTTTGCGTGATGGCGCCGAGCTTGATGGCGCGACCCGGAACGACGAGTGCGTGGAGCGCCCGTGGGGGGATCCAGGACCGCCCTTTGGGTCGGAAGGCGGCAGGCGCGGCGTTGTTGTGCTGGTTTCGCACCCTGTCGCTGGGCGCTCGGACGTCCGCGCCAATGGTGCGCGCGCTGGCCGCGAGGGCTCTCGATTGAATGCCTCCAGGGAAGCGCCCAATGCGTGGGAGTCTTTTGGTCGTCTTCTACTCTTGGCGCCTGCTGCGGCTTCGAGGTTCGCGTGGGGCTGCCCGCTAGCTTTGCCTGGCGGTGAATACTAAATTGGTGCAGTTGCAGGTGCAGAGCGGCCACCTGGCGATGAAGCTCCTTGCCCAGGACCCGCCCTGCGCCTTTGCTGGGGCGAACTCTCGGACCAGCCATTCTGTCAAACAGGACTGTCTGATCGAGTGAAGCCTGTGATCTCTGCCGCGTTGGCCGTGGAGTTGCTGTAGTCGACGAACGCGATGCTGAGCGACCTGGGGATGGGCCTATGTTGCCGCCTCGTCCCAACGCGCGTGAGAAGTTTGATGCCACTCAAAGAGAATGGGCTGCCTTGGAGGTGCTCGTTTGCGCGCTGCAGGGGCGGGGAAGAAGCGTCTCCCGCGCGTGGCGCCTCGCCCGCGCGACGTCCGCAGGGCGCCCAGCGCGGGGCGCGAAGTTTTAGCGGATATCCGTGACGTGGCAGTCGAAGCATCTCTGTCTGTCGAGTGCGGCGCCCGCAAGCAGCAGTTGGAGGTGCCGCGCGTGTTCGGCCTGGCAGACGAGCGTTGGGATGGCGTCGCCCATGGTAGCGTGGGGGGCCGCGCCTGAGCTGGCGGGGCGGTCCAGTGAGCTCTCCAGGAAGCCGGGCCGCGGTGGGCCGGTGCTTCCCAAGCGTGAGCCTCTGGTCCGTGGGGAGCTCGCCATTGCATTTGTGTGGTCAAGGGTTGGGAATGTGGAGGAGCGGCTCAGGCACTTTGCCCGCCCCCTGCACGGCGCGGAGC